AATTTTTCCTATCATAATCATTAGTATTTTAACCTGAAAATTTAATTTATAATCTTTCCATAGTAAATGCATACATCTTATATTTCAATATTTTTAGTAAATGTAAAGATCTGTATCTAATTAAGTCGACCATCTTTTTAACAAAGAATCGAAAATTTCTTTTTCAGACCTTAAAAATAAACATGAGAAAAATCAAAATATGTCCTCAAAAAATTTTAATACAGACAAATAATCAAATATGTATTTTTATTATCGGCTTACATTAAAAAATTGATTTTTTTATAACTGTCCATTTTTATCACTGATGTCATTACTTAGATAATTTAAAACTAGACGAACAATTATTTTTTAAATTTAAAATTTTAGAAAACTTTTAATTAATCGGTAACTTAAAAAATCAATTTACACTTACTATGGTTAAAATGAAGAAATGTTTTACCGCACTAATGGAGTATTACACATGCACTAATGGAATTTTGGTATACACAAATTTAATGCACTAATCGACAACGCATTAATCGAGGGATCCTTGTATATAGATATAATATTATACAAATATACACACACTGGCATATATATATACACACACACACACACACATATATATATATATATATATATATGAAGAAATATAGTTTTAAGGTGTGCTATATTTATGGGATAAAGTGCTCAATATCAGAGATAGAGCGTATGTAAATATAAATATAAAACTAAACATTGAAGTCAACACTTAGAGGCGACAGGCTGTTTCATGCTAGACACAATCGTCAGGTTATATATATATATATTCGACGTATGAGGGTCAAGCAGATCAGTTCCTAGGAAACCGACAGCCCAACAACAGCACTTGAGATTTGATTATAGTGGTTAAGGTTTCGTGCTGGACCAGCCACACTTTTTGAAGGGCTGAATACAGAGACCTGGTGCACTAAGTGCCACAAGGTCCCCAAACGACCCTCCGCAGGTTTTGAATTCAGAGTTGTCCTTCTCCTAGACCAGTTGCCATCGAAGGCTATAGAACCCAGTCTGTCCCTGGATATATATATATATATATATATATATATATATATATATATATATATATATATATATATATATATATGTGTGTGTGTGTGTGTGTGTGTGTGTGTGTGTGTGTGTGTGTGTGTGTGTGTATTTTTAATTGGTATCACCCCATACAAGGCAGTAAAGCTACTAAGACACAAAGGGGTTACAGTGTGTGGAAGAATTAGGAACAGAAACAATAATAATGAGCGGGAAGACAAAAGACTAATCAGGAGGATAGTAGATAGTGATTGACACTGCATTTAAATTTTTGCAGATTAAAGTTGATTAGAAAGCATTGAGCCGAAAGAAGTTCCAAAGGCGAGAAGTGCGAGAAAACAAACTTAAGTATAATATACCGAAACATATATCTATTTTAAATTGCTTTGATATTAAACATTTAAAGCTTTAAAATAACTATTGACCCAATACTGATCGAAATACCTATTTTAATATTATGTAACTGATACTGCCGGAAATCAATGATGATGTAAATACTTATTGAAATATAAAATCTATAGTGATCAAGGCATTCAATTATCGAACTGAAGGTACATTTTTAATTATTATGTCTCTCTTGGCGATCGTCACCATCCATATTTTCTTTTTATTGGGTTAGTGCATTTTTTTGGCGTTTTTGTAGGCGAGTTATTTGTTAATAAAAATTGCTGTTTTGTTTACTTTTTTAATAAAAATATTTTATTTTCAGGTTATAAAAATGCGTGTCGATAATTTCCCGCTCTAGAATAATCACTTAAACATGTTATTGTTGAATTGTTAGGTTTCTTTTTACATAACAAATACTGCTCAAAAACGCTTGGTAATTATGCACCAACCCAATATTTATCATCTGTGAATTGCCATGAGTTGTTGCGATAGAAAGTAGGATGATTTCTAATTCCTTTCTCCACAGATTAGAATTGAAATGATTTCTTCCCTGAGACTAAATGCCGCCCAATCTACCCAGGTGGTAAGCTAGAACGTGAAGAGGCGAATGTAGACATTTATCAAGGGAATTCAGCATTCATTAGTGAATAGTTAAGGCTACTGTCGGTTGAAATTTCTAAAATCTCGATAGGGTTTAATGAAAGATTGTCTTCTAAAGGATTCATTCCTTTGAATCCATTTTTAATCATTGATATCAAAAAGCGTTTGTATGCAGCCGATAATTTCTGAAAGATCTGAAGACCAGGCATATGAGCATATAGATCTGATGAAGCTATTTAAGAACATGACTCACGCGGACACCATTGAGGATTGTGCTTGTGCAATGCGATTAGAAACAGGCGTTTGAGCATACTGGCCTTTTTCAACATAATTACACACACACACACACACACACACACACACACACATATATATATATATATATATATATATATATATATATATATATATATATATATATATATGCAGGTAATAATTCGTAGGTATATACTCCTGGTAAATCCTAACAATATAAAATACTAAAACTAATTCAAAAGAGAGCTCAATGTATTTATTATAACAGAACATATATAAATAAATAAATTACATAGAATAGAAACTCAAAATTACCCCCATTTGAATAGCTATTTCACCCTACAAGAGCTTCCTTGTAGGATTTGTCAGCACCAATGGGTTAAGAAATAAAAGTTGGAGCTTAAAAATCTTAAATTTTTGTCTTTTGTCTTTTCATTTTTATATTTCTCTCTTCTTCTTTCTTGAATCTTTAAAGTTTGAGTTTTTATTTTATTTTTAATTTATTTGTTTAAACGTTATTTTTTAAACGGATACTCATATTTGGGTAGATAATCTGTTTTTATTTATTTATTAAACAGTATATATATATCTATTTACATCTACAGGCCTGAATATTCGAGAAATCTTTCTCCTACCGGAGGACGCATATTTTTTCTAACAAGATTTCTCGAATATTCAGGCCATGTCCGGAACACAACCGTTACCGGCCACTAAAACAACTGCTGGAATAATACAATATACTACCCACAATGCAATACACCAGACTACAATTACTGAACTGTATATAAATAGTCGAGCAAACACAGAACGTATATGGCCTGACGATTGAGTTTAACGTGAAACACTGTCGTTTCTGAATATTGACTTTATATATATATATATATATATATATATATATATATATATATATATATATATATGTGTGTGTGTGTGTGTGTGTGTGTGTGAAAAAAATATATACGGAAAAAACAAAAACAAAAATCCTTATATACGATTATGCTGTTTTAATGTTAATATGTCAACGTCTGACGTTTCGGTCTAATAAACCATCTTCAGGACATATTCATAAATATAACATTATCAATACAACATGACAAGGACGTCCTTCATACTGTCGGATCTATATCCATATATTTGCTTACATATATATGTGTGGGGGTGTTTTTGTGTGTGTGTATATATATATATATATATGAAGCTCAGTAAATTAATTTTCAACAATTCTCTCTGTGCTGCTGTTTCGTTGGTTAGTATACACACACACACACACACACACACACATATATATATATATATATATATATATATATATAGAGAGAGAGAGAGAGAGAGAGAGAAACATAGACAGAGAGACACAGAAAGAGAGAAGAGATAATAAAATTATATCGTTGTTTCTTATCGCATGATGCTACGCTACTGAAAGTTTCAGGCGCGGGTTAATCATCGATCATAAACTTTATATTTGATTTTTTTTTTTAAATGAAACTGTAAGCACATGAAACTGTAAGCAACATCTCTCAGTAACGAATAAGGATATGCTTATTGTTGAAACTTGACTAATGCATGGAATAATAATGCAACACAAAATGTACTTAGAACAAAATGTATTGAAACAAGAAAGTGTACACAATATTTACATATAGTCTTTTGTATATTCTTGGTAAGACCGTTCCTGGAGAATGTGTTGACTGAGTCGCAGTCGGGCAGAGTCTCTGGTTGAATCTCTTGATTCCTTCCTCTCTTCCCGGTACCAACCATATTTATATGGTCGGTACTCCACTATGCAAATTAGGTGAATCCTACCACAACACTTATATATATATATATATATATATATATATATTCAAGTAAGTTTAGTTGAATAATCTCGGCATATTATGTCGATTTATTTTATTTTAATCCCTTCGAATTCTCTAAACGACTTGTTAATGCTGATATTAAATTCATTAAGTAAGGCACCGTAGTTTTTTTTTCTATTTTATTTTCATTTTTTATTTTCCAAAGTACTTTCATTCCCATTCAAAATCATCTTCAGGGGTGAATTGTTAAGACAAAAAATTAATATAACTGATAGTTGTAAAAATGAAAATAAAACAAAAGAAAAAAAATGCCGCGCCTTCCTTAATGAATTTAATAGCAATATAAAATTTGGAGAGGATTACAATAAAATAAATAGACATAATATGTGAAGATTATTCATCCAAACATGCTTGAATACATATGTGTTGCATAAATACACACACAAACACACACACCCCACACACACACACATATATATATATATATATATATATATATATATATATATATATATATATATATATATAATTAAAATATGTAAAAGGTTTGTGACTTAGATTATTGATCTTATCTTGAGCATCTCATCTGCAGAGTTTCGTAGATGGACCCGTCCTTCCACTCATCAGTGGGTATCAGCAATTTACCCCTTATACTTTTCGATTTTTCTACCCAAAAATTTCAAAGAATGTAAACAGATTTTCAATCTGTTTATTGATCATGTTCACCAACATTTCCGGTGACTTGTCATGTATTTTCATGTATTTCTGAAAACCATTCCCCCATAAATCAAAAACATAATTTTCTATCATTTCCCCTTCCTTTGTATACACTATTTCCCAAATCTACTGTGTAATAACACATACGTATGTGTGTGGCTGTGTGTTTGCGTTCTGTATGTGTGTAAATTTATTTACAGAGAGAGAGAGAGAGAGAGAGAGCTATATCTTGAGAGACTGGGGAAGATTTGCGTGCTCAAATTTGTATTGCGCTGAGGTGGATCCACGCGCCTCGATATCACTTGAAGCGTGGGAAGGCGTTCTTCCTTCGCATTTTCCACCAGAGATTTGTCATTGGAAACCTTGTGAGCTCCGTGCTCAAAGGATAGATGCACAATAACCGGAAGCCGCCTTGTCCTGAAATTGCCGTAAATTCAAAAATGCCTTCTATTTCGCTTTTAATGGCTGTCCACTAGCTTCATTTTATGGCCGGTCACTGATCAAATAAATTATACCGATGAGTTAGGCACTTTGATGAAATGGCGCTTCTCCTGATAGCAATTAACGATATTTGCTGTACAAACAGCTCTTATGTTTTTAATTGACAGGATGCACAATTGGATTAATGTATGATGATATGCAAATATTCAAGTGGTTTCATATATATATATATATATATATATATATATATATATATATATATATATATATAAATCAGATCTTATAAGCAGAAATACATCCAACAAGTGATTAGACTTTCATATAGATGACTGTACTGTGCACTGGTCGATGCTTATGAGATAGATAGATAGATAGATAGATAGATAGATAGATAGATAGATAGATAGATAGATAGATGGATGCAAACAAACTGAGAACAGCGATATATTAACATAGTAGCTAGATAGAAATATAGGGAGTGAAATAAATAAATAAAGATAGATAGATAGATAGATAGATAGATAGATAGATAGATAGATAGATAGATTTACGAAACATTTTCATTTAATTAGAAAATGTAGTTTATCAACAAACAAGTGAACATTTTAAACTTTTAATTGATTAATTTAAAGAAACATTGTAAAAGTATTTTTTGGTTGGTCATAAAGATAAACCATGTGTGAAAAAAAATTACTGGACAAAAATTTTAGAACTAGTCAATGTGCTCATAGCTTCAGGCGTGTAGACATCTACTTAGCACATTTCCAGCATTAAATTTCAGATTTTAAAATGGCTAAGGATAAAATTTTAACAAATTTCAAACAGGACAAGATTGTTGAACTTTAAAGATGTGAGCTTTCGCAATGAGCAAAATGAAATTGGCCGTAGAAGAACTGTCATTTGTAACTTCGTTAAAAATCTGGATCCGTATGTTTCTAAAAAAAATCAAGCGGCCGTCCCAGTAAAATCTCACCATCTCTAGACAGACGCATTAGGCGAGAAGTTAAGAGAGATTCAAGCCTAACATCAAATCAGATAAAAGCGAATACAGATGCTGAATGCAACTCTCGAACAAGTCGATAGCATTTAAATAAGAAAAGATTTAAGAGCCTGAAACGGTTCGAGAGGCCTCACCTTCTTCCTGTTTACAATTCGCTTCTGATTATCAAACTTGGGATGTGGATAAATGGAAAAAAGTGTTATCAGACGAGAAAAAATTGTACCTTGATGGCCCAGACAGTTTTCAGCGTGACTGGCATGCAAAAGAAGTCTCAAAAGAAATTTTCTCGACACAACACAGTTGAGGTGGATCAATTATGGCCTGGGGTTCATTTTCGTACAATGGAACTCTTGAGTTACAGGAGGTAAAAGGTTGTCAAATAGCTGCTAGTTACATTGACGTGTTAATAAAGGCATCGCTAATTACTGAAGGTCCTCGTCTATGTGTAGAAAACTGGAATCCACAACGCTCGGAGGTCGAATGAGTTTGTTTTTTGTTTTTTTTTTCGAAAACAACATTCAGTTTTTGAGCCATCCACCGTGCTCTCCAGATGGAAATCCAATCGAGAATGCTTCAAGATGGATGGCAAATGATGTTTATAAACATGGATCGCTATTTGAAACTGTGGATGCTCTTCGTGCTGCAGTTTATACATCCTGGGCAAGCATCCCAAGCACCATCATGCAGAAATTAATAATGAGTATGCCAAAACGAATTTTTGAAGTAATTCGCAAAAATGAAGGATAGACTGAATATTAAATTATCGTTGTGATTTATTTGTTCTATATAGTCTTATCTTTATGACCAAACAAAAAAAATGCTTTTTCAATGTGTGTTTTAATTAATCAATTAAAAGATTAAAATTTTCAATTGTTTGTTGATAAACTACATTTTTTAATTAAATGTAAATGCTTCACAAATATATTTCGATTAAAGTAACGGTATTTTATATTTTTAATCCTTTTGTATCGGGTCATAAGATTTTGACCAGGAGTGTATATGAACATACTAACTACACAGAGACATATGGAGTGAAATAAATATAAAGATAGATAGATAGATAGATAGATAGATAGATAGATAGATAGATAGATATGAACAGAATGAAATAGATAGATAGATAGATAGATAGATAGATAGATAGATAGATAGATAGATAGATAGATAGAATTTTAAGTTATTTCTTTCTTATGAACATTCGAACACTTCACATGCGCAGCGAGGTACAAAGATAATGCTACCAATAGACAAGGGTTTTGCAGAAATGCAGTACAAATAACGCTCTTTGTTCAAATTTGTACGTAGGCGTGCGATAAGATTTTCTTTCTTTTTTTATAAATCACCATAATCGTCAAGATATTAATCAGCATAAACCCAGGGAAACAAACAATTACAGAAGAAAATAAGAAAAAAAACAACGAGAGGTGGGCGTGCATCTGTAGTTTATAGGATTTGGCAAGAGTTACCCCCACGGGCTTACCTATGTAAACACCGGGAAATATAAGTTTGTATTTGTTTGAAGGCAAGATTAGGAGTAACAGGAAATCGTGTTTGTTTGCGGATATATACATTTGCTGATGGCATTGTATGTATTCGATTGTCAACAGACATCAATAAGAAAGTGTGTTTCTATAAAGTCTTGCATAGTGTTAAAAGGTAATACATGTGTCTGTGTGAGAGAGAGAGAGATAGTTTGTGTATGAGAGAGAGAGAAATAGTGTGTGTGTGTGTGTTTGAGAGAAAGATAAATTATATGTGAAAGTTTGTGTATGAGTGTGCGAGAATATGTCTGTGTTTATGTATGCGTGAGTTTGTCTATAAGAGAAAGTGTACTATTGCGTACATGTTTATTAGTGTACAAGCGTGTATGAGTACGTGAGAGTTTATGGCTATGTATGAGTTTATGTATCAAAATGTGTACCTATGCGTGTATGTATTAGTGCGTATCTTTGAGTGTATTTGATTATGAGCGCTATCGCCTGTGTGTATGCATATGAGTTTCGGAGAATGTGTTTTAGTGTATGTGTGTGTGACAGAGAGAAAGATAAATTATATGTGAGAGTTTGTGTATGAGCGTGCGAGAATATGTCTATGTTTATGTATGCGTGAGTTTGTGTATAAGAGAAAATGTACTATTGCGTACACCTGTATTAGTGTACAAGCGTCTATGAGTGCATGAGAGTTTATGGCTATGTGTGTATGAGTTTATGTATGAAAAAAATATACCTATGTGTATGTGTATTAGTGCGTATATGTGAGTGTATTTGAGTATAAGTGCTAACGCGCGCACGCGTGTGTGTGTGTGTGTGTGTGTGTGTGTGTGTGTGTGTGTGTGTGTGTGTGTGTGTGTGTGTGTGTCGGACAATGTGTTTTAGTATATGTGTGTGCGAGAGAAAGAGTACGTCTGTGTATTTGTGTGTATATGTGTGTGTGAATATGAGCGTGATTATGTGGTTGTGAACGTGTGTGCGCAATGGGGTGTGAGGGTGTGTTTCTGTATGTGTTCCTGTCGGAATGCGCTAGCCTGCGTGAGTTAATGCGCCCGCATGCGCATAAAATAAGTGACTTCGTACGACCGGCCGAGATCAAATATTCGCAAACAGAACAGAGTATATACATTTTCTTTTATCTGTGCATGATTGTTGCAACGAGTCTCACTTCTCTGTCACCAGCCAGAGAAAAAATTCTAGTAGTGTATGTTTCCGTTCTACCATCAACATATGACTTAAATACAGAAAAAGCAGTGCTCTCTCTAATTATATCTGGCAATTGAAAGGTTAAGGCACGTCAGGCTATATGACGGTTCCATATAGGATACAGGTTCGACGAAAATTTTCTATGAAAATTTCTCGGATATTCAGGCCGGTAAATATTGTTAATACTGTTTAATATAAACAGAGCATTTACTTAAATATTTGTATCTATAAAAGAATATATAAACATAAAATGTCTTAAAATATATATATATATATATATATATATATATATATATATATATATATATATATATATATATATATATATATATATATATATTATTTCATCTTTATATTTTTTTCAAAGCAGTAATATTACTTTTTTTTTACCTTGACCAAAAGCGGTTGTTGAATAAATTGTGAAGGTGTCGCAATGCAAAACCCATGTGAACAACGTGCCCCAATGTCGCTGTGATTAATTTTAGGAATCAATGGCCGCTCATGACAAATATGACCGCTTAAACGATTCAACCAAACTCTGATTGCGTGACTCTGTACACATGCAAAATCTGTCGACTCAACTCCCGAATGTTGATGAGCTTTTAATGAACCTGGCCGTCATTTTTCGCTTAAGGAAGCAAATTCGCATAAGACGTGTTCTTGAAACCACGCCCATTACGAGGCAAATAAATAACTTCGCCAATCTTTGTCCCTGTCGGGACTAGTAGTTCTACCTTTGCTTGTCTAAACAAATATGTGAATATATATTTTATGATACACCTTAAATATTAATAAAAGAAAATATTTACTTACCCCTTTGGATGAGATCGTGGAAATTACGTTTTATAATACTGCTCATAAAGGATAGGACAAAAGGCCGTACTATGATCAACTTAAACTCGTCGTTCAAATACTTCGAACTTCGTATGAAAGAGTATAAGCAGGTACTTCGCATAGCATGATACTATTCACTTGTCTAATGAGTTCGATCCTAGAAAATGTTGTGAATTCATGGCTTATGCCAGAAAATTCTGAACTCATCAAATATAGTTATAAATTTT